CCCCCCCCCCCCCCCCCCCCCCTCCCCCCCACGCTCGCCCACCTGTAGCGCCCGCGAAGTCTCCGCGTGTTGTGACAGCTGCTCCTGGCACGCCTTCCTCTCGGCACGGACGGCCTCCATCTCCTTCTTGAGGAACTCCCTTGACACGCGGAAGGCAGGGAGGGGTGCAGGGACGGTGGGCGGGCGGCGGCGGCGACGGCGGCGAATACGCTGAAACGAGAGGCCGGAGGGCGCGGTGTGGTGACGAGGGTGGGGAACCCGCCTCCCTCCTACCAGGGGTGCCGCAGCATGCAACAGAGCACGAGAGATCGCCGACTGTTCGCCAAGAACATAAGGGGAATCAAAAGAAAGGGTCCCAACCACGCGTACCTGAGATACCCGCACTTTCGTCTGAGAGACGTACAAGACGTACAACGGTGAGACTCGACGACAAAACCACCTCCCCCCAATCTTCCGCCCGCCTTCTACGTTGATCTTCTACGTTGATCGCCGTCAACGTCTCCCCCTCCACAGATGCGAACGCATCGTTAGCCTACTTCGAAGCCACCAGTCAGCAATAGTTATTTCCGCGTTTGATTCATGAATCATATTCATGTGACAACTTCACCGCTGGACCACTCACTCACTCCGTTGGTGATCAAGAACAGCTATGCCTCCTGGAAACCCAGTCCCCCCCCCTCCCCCCCCCTCGCCTCTTTTCTCCCACCCCCGCCCGACAACGCCACACCTCTCTCGTGCAACGCCCTCCTCCTTGACTTCCAGAGATTGCCTGGCCTCGTGCCTCGCCGCCTGCAGGGCATCCTCTCGCCCCCTCGCTCCCTCGCGTTCCCGCCTCCGCACCTCCTCCGCCCTCGCTTCCAGCGACACCGCGAGGTCCCGCAGCCGGAGCTCTTCCGCTCTCACGCCGCGCGAATCTAGCTCAGCCGATCGACGGACTTCCTGCAATGCAGTCGAAGTAGGGAACGGAGGCGGGGAGAAGAGGGGTGGCATTATCATGTAAGCAGGGAGCCAGGCTGGCATTTCGTACCAGTTATCTGACTCTCTATCTGCTTACATGAGGGTGACCGCGCGTTAGAGTCCCGCAGCCCCTTCAAAGGTGGGATGGCGCGCGGAAGGTACTAAGTCGACCTGGAAGCACGGCACTGACAGCCCCGCTTGACAAGACCCGACAAGACGGCCGATAGCTCATGCACAAGAGCGCACCGCCAACACCACCACCATCACCGCCAACAACAACAACAGAAAAACCATCATACAGCAACTGCTTGCCTGCTGCCCGGTTTGTCGTGTGAACACGATTAATCGCACGGACGCCGCTAGAACAGCAAAGACATGCGTAGTCGACTCAAACTCGGCGTACGCTAACCACCCCCAGAGAAGAGAGGGAGTGAGCAGACGATGCGGAGGATCGAGGGGCTCCGTCATATCACACAACCTCCCTATCACGTACAAAGAGAATTCGTAGATGGGTGTCACCACCGAGAACACCAAGCGACAACCACCACGACCACCACCACCACAACAACAACAGCATTCTTTGGCTATGAACGAGACTACTCGACTTGCCTACAACCAATCACCGACAGCAACCCCCCCCCCCCTACAAACACGCCTCCTCGCCTGTTCCCGTGTCCTGAGGAGGTCCATCTCGCGGAGAAGGTTCTGCCTGGCCTCGAACTGGGACACCTCGGCTTCCCGCATGCGGTCGTTGTGCCGCCTCTCCCGGTCCCTCTCCGTCTCCTGCAGCCTCTCGACGCGGGCGTCGTACTGGGACTGGAGCTCTTTCCGCATTGCGTCCACCTCTCTCCGCCGCGTGGAGGCCATCTGCACCCGTAGGGCGGCAAGGTCGCGCTCGCGGAAGGAGTCGCGTTCCGCCTTGATCTGCCCGGGAACAAGAAGAAGAGGGAGACAGATGAAGAGAGAGAGGGGGGCAGAAAGAGGAAAGGGCCGAGACGTAAGATAGAGAAGGAAACAGAGACGGAGAGAAGCAGAGACGGAGAGAAGCAGAGAAACAGAGAGAGAGAAGGAGAAAGAGAACATATATAGCTTGGGGTACAAGATTAGAGGGGGTAAAGACAGGTATAGGATTGGTGAACCACGAGCAACTCTAGGCCACTTACCACCTGCGTCTGTGTTACCAAACAAGAGAAGCGAGAAAGAGAGACAATGGAATCTTGACATAATGCTCATGGGGTCGTCTTAGCCTTCAAAACTGCTACCCAGCCACACTCCACCGACCACTTTCTACTTCCTGCTGTGATGTGCGAAACCAAAATAGACTCGTGAACCTCCTCTTGCCCCCCCCAACAATAAAACAAACAAACCAGCAGACGCGGAGCAACCCAGCAGCTTGCCTGCGCTGCTGCCCGCGACTCGCACTCCCGTTGGTAGGCCAGCATGCGCTCCGTCACATCTTGCGCAGGCTCGCGCCTTTCGTCCGCGGAGCGTCTCAGCCACGTCTCTCGCACCGCTTCCAAACGAGTGACTGCCAGAAGGCGTGCATGGTTCGGGAAAAGGGGGACGGAAGCACGCACGCGCGGGGTACTCGTCGCTGTGAAAGGCGAGAGCAGTGTAGTACCACTCCCCTCCCCGCACACCTGGCACTGCGAAAAGCAGAAGCAGAGCATATTCGGACTTTTGCCAACTTGTGGAGGTGAAGGCTTGGATAATCCATGTCCGGCCGCCACAGGCAACGTGTTATGGAAATCGCTGTCCAAACTCACATATCGAAAAGGAAAGATCAAGTCCAGGATTCCACCGATCCCTCCGCAACCAAGGGATCTCTACGAAGAAGTGAGAGCGTCGACCCCACCGTCTTTGGTAGGCCTCTGACGCTCGCTCGCTCCCAGATAGATCAATCGCATGCACGGCAAGTACCGTGCCAACATCGATGTACGGTGCCCCCTCCCCCTCGGACACCCAGCTATCCGCCACTTTACACCAAGGCGGCCCTAAATGCTGCAGCTACCAATCGCTAAAAAATTCTATCTCCGGTCGACAGACAAGAGTTTCGCGTCGGCACATGCTCTTTGCTGTACCCTGTCCCCTCCGCGCCGCCCCCGAACCCTTCCTCTCCCCTCACCCAAGTTCTCCTTGTGGCTGCGCCCCGCCTCGTCCGTCTGTGTGTTGGAGTCAACCGCGACAGCACGAGACCTGGTGGCCACCTCGCCGACAAGTGCCTCGAGCAGGCCGCAGACACGCTTCTGCTCACGCGAACCCCCCCCGCCGCCGCCGCTGGCTGCTGCTCCAGCATGACCCCCGCTTCCTGCAGCCGCCACCGCCACCGACGCGTTCGACACCACGGCCGTATCAGCACCAGCCGCCGCACCCGGCACCGCCGCTGTTTCCCCATCGCTGCGGCACACCGAGCCCGCGGCCTTGCCCTCGCCCTCTTCCGCCCGCCTTATCACGCGTCGGAAGAGATTGGAATCGGCAGGTATCGGCAACGCTTGCAGCACGTCTTCTCGAGAGAGCGCCGCCTCAGCCGCCGGAGCGGCACCGGGGCCAGTGCCGACGGTAGCCGTGTTGCCGCAGTTGCTGCCTCCGCCGAGGCCCGACTCCGGCAAGAAGACTGCCAGAGATTGCAACAGGCCGTTGCTGGCGAGGTGGTCCACCACAAGGCTGATGAAGTTCGCGGGGGGTGGGGGGGGGGGTGTATGTGCCAGCAGGTTAGGGCTGCCGACCGCGGAGAACAGCATTGTGTGAAATTTAAGTTGTCGTCGTACCGGAGCCCACAGATCTAGATTCAAGTCGGGCCTGCTGAAGTCTACGCAAGCTACCACACTTCCAAACGCGAAAGGTGGCGGTATAGAGAACAGGCGGGGTGTTTTCACAACCCAGCGGTACAGTAGTTACTTCCAAAGCAGGAGTGAGTGCGGAAGCTAGAACGGCTAGGGCTCAGGCCAGCGAGGAGGAACATTGAGAGCTTCTTTTCGTGTGCGGGGGCATCATGGGCTATGACACCGCACCCCAAGAGTGGCGAGACTACAGTGGTAGACGCAACGCCCCAGCGGTAGACAATCACGTCCGGCACGCTCAACTTTGCGGCAGTTGTCACTCGACCCTCACCATGAAGACTTCATCAACACCGTGCGTGACAATATCTCGTGTAGTCTCTAGGTGAAAGTTTTAAATAGCATGTCGTGATGTGTTACTTAGGTACTTTTTTTCTCTGTAAAGAATCGGAGGCAAGCAGAAGACACGAATGGCCGACACCGGGGCATGTACCTATGGAGCACCCTCTCCTGCAGAGAGATGCCGCTCGGTGAGCGGCGGCGGCGGCAGGTGCCTGCTGCGACGGCGGCCTCCTGCGCTCCCGGGACGCCGAGGCCCTTTCGACGAAGCTCCAACACGAACTGGCGGCGCAGTCGTGCCTGTCGCGTTGCAGGCCAAACGGTAGTCAACCGTGCGCGGTTATCGGCCAATTCGAATGATTTGCTTCATAGGTGACTCGCTGTAGAATGGATGGCAGAATGGCGGTGAGAATGAAATTGACAAGTAGGTGCGTATACCAGATGCCAAGGTGTGTGTAAATTGTGGTTCGAGAGAGGATTTTCACAAGACAGACCAGTTTCCATTGTCAGTGACAATACCAGCTTCTCAAGGGAGCCTGACATGGAACGGCGTTTGCTACCGCACGTTATCATGATCACTCCGCACTTGTGTCAAGAAGTTCAGGGTGCCAGTTGCTCGATCACCCCCATTTCAAGAAAGGAAATATTTTCAGGACTCCAAATGGCAAAAATCTTGACATGCAGACCGCGTTCGGGGTTGCAGCGGTCTTGCAGCAAGCGTGTGCAGCACCAGCCTTTCTGCTGCAGTCGTCGCGATCTACATCTGCCTCTCTCACCGTCACATCGTCGATCACGCCAGTAGCGCGGAAGTTGTCGCGGAGCGCGCGCTTGACGTCGTGGAGCGACGCCCCGCCTTCATTTGGCTGCTGCTCATGGGACTCCTGTCGTATCTTCTGCTCCTCCTGCTCTGCTTGTTCGTCACGGGTTTCAACCACCCTGGGCAACGCAAACGAAACCTCCGACTCCACCGCGGATTCGAGTACGGGCATGGGTGTGGCGTACAGCTGCCTGGTGCTGGATCCAACCAATGCCAGACAGATGGGTTGGACACCACCATCATATGGTTGCACGCCAAAGAGACTCCGTGCAACTATTAATCCCCCCCCCATATGTTTCCGTTCAATTGTGCCCCCACGGTCCTTGTTGCCTGCCCTCCCCCAACCCTGCTACAGACCACAACGCCAGACGAAGCAGAGAGGGGGGGGAGAGTCTCTGCAACAGGCGCCATGTCGCGCTTTGCTAAGTTTGCGACTGGCCTGCGAGAGTTCGGGAACGATATCAATGTCAACATATCCAAGGCACTCAACATCTCAAAGGTGAGAGATGCGAAAATGTCGGGGTGTTGAATTTGGAACAAACGATTCATAAAAAAGCACGTACCAGTAGATGTTGCATATGCACATTGCAGAGCAGTCGTATAGTAGTTGGTTGATGTCTCCAGCGCCGGCATGACATGCTTTGTATTTCTCCTCTTCGAATCGTGGGAGACGGTGGCGGTCCCTCTGGCCCCCTCTTTCAGTCAATCGAGCGAAGGCAAACAATACTGCTGTTGTGCAGCGCATGCGCGGAGCATTTCGCGGCACCTCTTTCAATCTTCAATCGTGCCTCGGAACTGATGCTGTACAGCAGTACCCAGAGAAAGCTCCATCAGCTCATCCCACTGCGTCCGGCCAGGCCATGCAGCAGAGCTGGATCGGTGCCGTACTAGAGGTTCGCGTGCTTGTTGATGTGCCTGCGAGGGTTAGGTTGCTCACGTTTGGAGCACGACCTGCCTGTGTTTTCAGGGAGCGTGTGTCGATTTGGATTCAAGCCGCACTCGTCCGTTGAACATGTGACTCCACCTTCCGAGAGAATTTCCATTGCGTCCTCAAACCGTTTGCTACACAATACGGCCTTGCGAACGCCCCTGCATGCAGTAGAGAAGACCGAATCGACGGGGAAGAGGGGTGTTAGCTTTACGGGTGGACGCGCCATGTCCCAGGGAAAAATCGCCGGCGACTCGTAAGCCCGCGGAAATTTCCGCACTCCGATGGTCTCAAAATGCCAACAATACCACAAATGGCAGAAGGGGCGTTCAATTGCTCCACATCCGGGAGCGCGCGAAAACCGATCGAAACATGCGAGGAAAGCTCTCGACGAGACCTTTTCAACACCACAGATTTCGGCATTACGCAGCGCGGCCTCTTGGTAGTGTGGAAGCAGTCGAGCTAGATGAGAGTATGCCTGCTGCTGTAAGGTGAGGGTGAGTGGGATACTGTAACCCGCACGTTGAACGGAGTATCCTCTGGGAGCAAGTTGTGGACTGGAGTGCTGCTGTAAACGGTAAACGGCCTTCTACACGCGCATGCGTGGAAGAATCATATCCTCTCCCGAAAAGCCCTGACGGGGGAGCCCAACCCTTCCACTGCACTAGAGTCTAGAATCCTCCACATGTACCATATTCAAGAAATGTTCACGTTGTATGATAGTGCAATAGCATCAACGATAGTTGTATCTATCATGGTTTTTCGTATTTCGGGCGGGGTGATGAGACGTAAAACCCAAGCACCCGAGCTGGCGCTCGGCAAAGATATCAATCAATACTCTGTGGAAGAGATGGCCCTCTTTCTTGTGTCGCAAGTAACCAAATGACTTGCATACCGCATACCGCATTGGAAATGAACCCTCCGTTCAGCAGAATTTTTCTCGGGCTCTCACAGCGCTGCATTCTCCGGCCTCTTTTGGAGCGCTGACAGAACAGCCGTCTATCCTAGTTTAACTTGAATTTAGAGTACCCCCCCATGCCTCTCATGCCGCTTTGTTCCACGTCTCTTCAGCCCGCGTCTCTCTCGCCCGCTCAGCGGAAACCGGACCAAAAGGCCGGCGGCCGCTGGCTGTAGCTCAAACGTTCTGGCCGGTTTTTGGGTCTCGACGAGTATTTCGGGGTTAGCTCTGCACTACGTCAGTTTGTACCACATCCTTTGTGAAACATTTTTTGCGGGGCTCTTTTTTTGCGCCCGCACTCATATAATCGGGCCTTCCACCATAGACTAATTCGGTTGTTCACGACGAGCAGTCACGGGGTGCGTGGTTTCCCCGCTTACGGTGAAGAGGCCCGTTTCTCCTCCAGTAAGACGTTCATGGACCTGTTGTTCAACTGCTGAACCACCTTTTCTCTCCACCCCTCTCAGTCAGATGCCGTTCGCCCGTGTACCTATCTGCGTTGAGCACACAGCTTTTTGCGGGCTATTGCTTGTCAGGGGCGTGGTCCACACATGTGTGAATCGAAAGTCTCTCTCCCCACTGCTTGGAATCTCTCTCACCAATATTTGTGTACGCGCATCAGGGTAATAGGGGGCCCTAGTCTGACACAGGCGCCCGGCTCCAGGACATGACGTGTAAGGAGGGTCTACTGTAGGTCTAAGACTGATGGAACGGAGAGCACAAAGATAGCCGGGGTTCCCAAACCAATATTTGTGTCCTGATTTTTGCCTCCCGTGTGTTCTCCAATGCTGTGGTGTACCACATGCACATGCATACAACACTTGTTCACCTGTGCAGCAGTCGTGGTCTTGGTATTTATTTACTACTTCGAAGTATTATTTTTTCGTGGCGATGGGTTGTCGCATGTGCACGCCTCGATGCACGAGTACTCTTTCGCTTCGTCTTGTTTTTAATGGCACAGCCCGTTTCTTTTTAAGTTGCCCCGTTGTCCCAAGGCGTGGTGGGATGACACAAGTCGAGGGCGTGCTGCACGCGCTACCTCTCCTCACCGAAACCGGTATTTACACTAAATACCAGTCGTTCCACAATCGTTGAGTGTGCTGCTGAGACTCGGTGCATCATACCGACCGCCGGGTACCCCAAACATCAGGCTTACGGCGATGTTGTTCTTGTTGCTGTCTTGGCGTACAAAGTACCGTTTTGGCCTCTGTTTCGTGCCACCTGTAGGCACATGCACACATGTATTCGTGACAAGGGTGATTGCCAGTGTGAGAGAGGCCCGACGGTCCACCAATGTTTTTTGTTGGGATAGGTAGAGCAGAACGCCTCCGAAACGGCTGCGCTGCTGCCGACGGCACACTCTCTTTGGCGTTCTCGACCGACAGCAGTTGCGCCGTATCGCCGCCCCCGCGTGCCCCTCGTGATGCGCTCGACGCAGGTGTCCGAGGACCCCAACAGCATCCTGCTGGAAGAAGCGAGGGCTGGCAGAGTGGATGGCCTCAAGGCATGCTTGGACGACTTCGCGTCCAGGACGGACGTCAACGGTGCCCTCGACCGCTCCTTCCTGTCCCCCCTGTGCCTCGCGTGCCGCGGGGGACACGAAGAGGCGGCGCTGCTCCTGCTGCACCGGGCTGATGCCGACCCAAACAACGCCACGGGAGCTAACGAGGCCGCCGCCGCCGCCGCGGCGGTGGCGGCTGCCGGACAGAGGTACGGTCAAACCAACAACGACGAATTTACCGGCGGTGCTGGCGGCGGCGCCGGGGGTGCGCCGCCTCCCACCCCTCTAGCTCTGGCGGTCGGCGCCGGTCTCCAGCGAGTCGTGGTAGAGCTTCTCGCTAGGGGGGCGAGGGTGGATACCCCGCGCCCCGAGGACGGCTGGACGGCCCTCCACCTGTGCGCCGCGCGAGGGGACGCCCTGACGATGGAGGTCCTGCTCCGAGCGCCGCTGGCCGACGCGGGCGCGCGCACGTCCCGGCTGGAGACCCCTCTGAGCGTGGCGTCGTCGCGCGGCCACCTCTCCGTGGTCGACATGCTCCTGGGGGGTGACGAAGAGACCGCCGCCGGTGGTGGTGGTGGTGGTGGTGGTGGTGGTACCGGCGGTGAACCGACGGGCAAGACGACCGAGAGTGATCCTCCGAGCGTCTCGGCGGCAACGAGTGACACCGGATGCCCCCGCCGAGGCCGCCGCCG